CCCCCCCCCCCGCCCCACGAATGAATCTGGGGTACCACGGGATACCTCTTTCCCGATTCCCATCACTGGTTCTCTCACTGAACGGGGCTTGGCAGGGCTCTGTCAGACTTGACTCTGGTGGGTGAAGGGGTGCACAAGTGCGCCGAGCTCGTGGTAGACATTGAAATAGAGCTAGACGAGACCACGGGAGATGAAGTGGATCGAGAGAAGTTGCTCAAGGACGTCGTCAAAAGGTGAAAAAATACATGCAGGATACCAGTTGCACATGAGTGAGTGAAAATAGTCGTAATGAGTTGGATGAATATCTAGCTTGCATCCGAAGAGTGTTCTCATGTTGCCGCTTGCTTGCTGGCATCTCTCTCCCTGTTGCGCTTTCGAACCTAAAGATGACAGCGCCGTCAGGACTTTCAACAAGTCTCCCAATAATAAGCAGCAGCCAATTGAACGACCCCGGAAACGAACCCACGAACCCACCGATCTCCCCACCCGCCCACCGCGGCGGCCTCTCCTTCGGGCATCGAATTGTTGTCTTGTCGGAGGGGAGGAATTCGCCCAATAATTACCATTTTTTGGCAACCCGTTGTATCATAGGAACTTGTTGTACTGTAGCCGGTTCAACACGTGAATCTCATGTGTGGGGGCCTCATGTCGCCTGCGTTAACACGATACTTTTGTTATGTATATCGACCGCAGCGCGTCGCCAGTCGCCAGTGCATTCTCCTCGGTCCCACGTGGAAAGTGTGTTTCCCAGGCACGCTTTCGCCCCCCTCCCCCTCCCGGCGAGGGCCCGTGATCCACATGCTACAACCATGATATGTAGACATTTAGACCATCAGCCCCCCCCCCGTATCGCATGAAACTCGAAACAGGTGGCGGGATTTTCTGATGGCTCATTGCGGGCAGAGTTTCAAGGACTTCGTCGAGGACGTGGAGAAAAGATTTAGACGAAGTATCGGATTCGAAATAAAAAAAAAGGGGAAAATATTGGAGTTGGAAACCGTTATTGCAACGAGGCTGCCACCACTGCCTATGGCTGCGTTTACGCCGGAGAGCAGTGCAACCGGCCTCATGAAAGATAGTTTCAGAGAGTGCCATCGGGACAGAGTTTTTGGTTCCCGCTTGCAGCACGCTTGATTTTGCGGTATCTCAACAACACCAACCCCCGCGCTTCCCGTTTGGTCGGAGAAGCGATTGTCCATTCTGATCTTTAACCTGCCACGGTTGAATTCTTGAAGGACAGGGACAGGAACCTATCGTGGGGCAACGTTCGGCATAAGGCCGTATTGATCACCTACGATTTAGTAGACGGTTGTGGTCACAGCTCTTGTCGGCCTCAAATAGACACAGCGCAGACATGTCCGAAGCCCTGATGAACAGACACATAATGTTCGGCCTGGACCCTCTGATGGATCCGTTTCTTGTCGCACGGCGGTTTCTCCCAGACTAGATTCAATTTCGACAATAACCGATGGAGAGTGGTGCTTTCTTTCGAGTGCTCGCCTTGCCCATGTGCACCGAGTATTGGACGACCCGCCGATTCTCCGAGTTTCTTCGCGAAACATTCGCCACGGCCTCCTCCAGACCACAGGCACACCCAAGGACACCGATGTCGACCACAGAAGGACAAAGAAGCATTGCTGAAGATACACACATGCAAAATGTGTTCCAAGTCCATTTTTGTCGAGTGCGCCGTGAAAAGGAAACCGAAAAGGAAAGGGTTCTCGACTATACACCGCACGCGCTTAGTGCTCGGCCAATATCACGTTTCCCAATGTGCCTTTTTTACACCGGGATCGCAACATGTTTGTACGACACCGCACAAAATGCTCCCAGAACACATGAACTGTGTTACCACGGCTCTCAGCTGCCGCGCAAGCCCTTCGTCGGCCCAGTGTTACAGGAGATTGTTGAGATGGCCAAACCCGATGTCGCAGCATCACCTGGGCGGTGTCGAAAAATACGCTTTATTACCATATCGCGCGAAACTCGTCGAAAACAACTTCAATGGGCACGAAATCTGCTGACAGACCCTGTTGGCATCTGCGGCCGCTGCAGCTGCTGCGGAAGACGAGTTAATGAATGCAAGCGCAAGATGAGCCCTCAGGCTTCCGGTACAGGATGCGATGCTGACTTTCTACTGGCAGGCAACTGGTCGAAGAGAGCCCTTTCCTACGCTGAACTGATCGATTACCGTGTTGAACGTTAAAGCGTGCTTGACATCGCGTGTGGGCCCGTCCGTTCTTGGAACTCTTTCGAAACGTAGAGCAAAAACACCGGAAATGGATAATTACGTAAGGCGGCGTGTGTCCAAGCCTATCATAGTCATTAAAGGTACTGCCACGCCCGTTTCCGTGAATCCCTGAAAACACCGAAAGGTAAAAATTTGCGCTCAACTGCCACGTTGTCCTTGATTTCTTTCATTTCTTCAACAGCAGTGTCGTGTTTCAAAAAATGGAGAATACTTGGCGTCAGATGCATAAGTATGGGTTCCCCCGACGAGGACGTCACTTCCAAGGCGAAAATGAAGCACACATTTTTCACCGACGACCCCCAGTTCATTGCGCTTGCTTCGGATGTGATCCAACCTGATGGACATGTGTGTCGACTCGGTTTCACACCGGGACGTCGGACACAAGTATTCCTGGACATGAATTCCATGTAAAAGAATGAAATTTATCTCGTGTGTTCACTGCAGTGAACCAAACTTTGTCCCCGTGTATTGTTCTGTTCTTCAATCGCAATCCAACGAGGGAAACATGTACATGAGAGTCGGGCCTCGGGGTTCACAACGGAATCCGGATCCTGAAAACCTAAGGAAGATATGAATGTCTTCGAAATGAAATGTCGTGAATATTGCCATTGTGATTGCAACAGTGAAACCGATTGTTTGAGGCAGGGAGAACTCGGTTTGACACCGGGAATACGGGCACAGATGTCCCTGGATATGCCTTAAAACGATTGCAGTGCAAAATTGTCACGTTTTGTTTCAAGCGTGAACCAGACCTTTGATATTACTCTGATGCGATTGTGGTGCGAGAGTCGAGACTCGGGTTCACGTCGGGGGCCAAAAACCCATGAACGTGAAGGGAGGAGTGAAATTTTCATGTCGGCTACGACAGTGAAACGGATTCTAGGGAGTAGTCGGGATGTCGGACCTGGGAAACCTAGAACCCTGCCTATTGGTATAATATTCAAATTCACGATACCCACTGCCGTGGAGCCGATTTTCTCTAATGATCTATACCATTTTCGGTTGAGATATCACATCATTCTTGCAATATTTCACACCAATCTCTTCAACAGCGTGTGTTACTGAAACCGCAGATTTCAGATGCATAATGATTTCCTAGACGAGAAAGCTTCGCTGCAGCTGACAGTGCGACATATACCATTGGACAACGCCGCGGTATCATGTTATTGATGGGATCTCAATCAGGGAGGCATTCATGTCGGAGTCAGGGCCCGGTATCACACTGGGACTTGGGACACCGAAAACCTGACTATGGATTTTCCAAGGTCAACGTGGATGAAGACCTCGAACGCTCCTTCGTGCGATGTGGTAATGGATTCAAGCTGTGGAATGCAAAAGATGCTTGCTCTAGTCTCGTCTATGCAGACGTAGCGCATGCCAGATCGACTACGGCACACCAACAACCACCAATCCGACAAAAGGAGAGGGTGGGCAGGGGGCAGAACCGGAGGGGACGCACAATGAATCATAGGAAGGAAAACTATGTACGTCATCTCCAGCGATCGTTCCCGCGCCAGTTGCAGTCGCCGTGCTGCCCCCGCCTTCTGCTCCCGAAATGCCACCAAATTGGATTCTCGCGCGCAGCCCTTTATTCTCCGCCTGTAGCTTCTCCAGGGATGGCTACCCCTGGTTCGGCCGTGCTTTACGTCGGCCTTCTTGTCGTGCGAGCTCCAGAAGAAGATCGCGATCACACACACAAGATACACCATGCGGTCGTTCCGAGATCGACACGGCTCCCAACACTATACCACCCGCGCTGCCATTCTGGAAGTGACGCGGCCCTTCAGACAAGTTGCTTGCTATAGCACGTCGCGGAAGTACCACGTCTCGCAGCACAAGACTATATCACACGCTAACACCTGCTGCCCTCAATGAAATACGATCGGTCGTGTTTGGAGGCGGGCAGCCTGTTGTCAGAAGCACAGATAGAAAAGCAAGATATTATGAACCGTTGTCTCTCGCCCTTACCTCAGCGGGACCAGCTGACGCGGAGTTCTTATGCCGCCCTACGCCACCCGGTAGGCGAGCATCACCGCCAGAGGAGAGGTCGAGAGAGGCGCTGCGATTGGCAAGTCGGGACGAGGAATTCGGGTACTACTTGGTGGTCGCGTGCCACCGCTGCACGAAAATCTTCGGGGTGCACAGAGAAATCGTTTTTCAACAGCAAACAATGTCAGGAAAAACGTGCGTTGAGACCACCAGTAGTCGGACACAGTTTGACCTTGGAATACGATTGCAGCAACTAGTCTGCGTAGCAGTAGAAAAGAATCTCTCTCTCTGTGGCATCTATTCTCTTGTTCTAGAAATATTCCGGAAGCATGCTAGGTCAAGGTCGACCGGGAAACCTACGTAGAACGTGTGTAGCTTCTGAAAACCTTCTGGAACCTTCCGGAACCTTCGGAAGCTTCTGGAAGCGTTCTAGACCTAGGTTGCACCTGATACTTATTCTAGAACGTAGGAGGGCTTCCAGAATCATTCTGGAAGCGTTCTAGATCTTTCGTGTGATTGGCATATTTGTTCGGTATTCGAGGAGAGTGGTGCAGCCCTAAGCTCGCCACCCCTCTCACTCCTCTTCAGTACCAGCAACATCAATCTGACTCGGGAGTCACCAATCAATAAAAACATCCTCAGATTTCCATTCCAAGTCTCTCGCGGTTGGAGCCGCACAGAGTGTGAACCTCTGAGGTAGGCTACACAGCCTCCTGGCATCTGCAGCATCGTACTGGTGCACAGCGAAACTACGCTGACAATCAACAAGAAGAAGACCAAGGTTGGACTCCTTGCACTTCCACTCTTACACCCCCAAAGTCTTAAGACTTCGGGTGCCACAAGCGAGATGTTATGTACCAATGGCAATAAATATGGTCGTCGGTTTCGACCTAAACGAACTTGAGATATACTCCACTGATGTCATCTATCAGTTGTTTCGTAGAAATGTTGTACAAAGCAGGATCGGCGCCAGCCATCGAAACATAACCAATTAAAAAATCATGCCAACCAAACCTACACAAAAAAGACAACGCAAGAACGACGAACACCCCAGATAGCATATATACCGCTTCACCACCTGTGGGTGCCTGGGAGTTCAGATCTTCAGGCCCAAGAAAGTATAACTTCAAGAACTTGGCCGTAAAAACACGTGCTCAGTTGAATTGAAAGTACTACGTAAAAGCCTTTAGAGTCGATATTGGGTTTCCCCACAGCGGAAGTAGCAAACAAGCCACGGAATAGTTCGTGGTGGCGCTTTCTGTATGCGAACAGACCACGTGGACATTACAGCTGTAGCGAGTCCACCAAGACGACTCGACCCGACTGAGCCGACCAAACAGGTAAGGAGGTTGACTAGTGCTCTCAAGGGGCTCACCAACATTGGACGCGAACACTACCTCCCACCCGGTCTCCTCCCCGACATCTCGTCACTCGCTCAGCTCGGCGACGTCGTACGCCAACACCCCTCGCTCGTGCTCCAAGCTCCAGAACCACCTCAGCACTTGGGGGCAAGAGAGCGTGTCCAACAGCATCAGCATCGCCGCCGTCTCCTCTCTCCTTCCGTACGAACGTCAGCACGCTACAGGCCTCGCCGCCGTAGAAGGACCCGTCCTCGGGGCCCGTACACCCCGCTACAAGTCTCTATCCATGCCGACGCCGACCCCGCGGCGCCCCCAGCATCATGGCCAGTGGCGTCGTCGCCACCGCCGTCATAGCGGCCAGCCTGTTGGGCAGCGCTATCGAACGCCGTTCGATGCCGGCGGGACAGTGGCGGCGGGGTGTTGGCCGACGAGCCGAGCATGGTGGTGAGTCCTTCGCTGGATATCAAGAGCGTCGATGCCTGCGATTGATCGGGGGGGGGGGGGGGG